TTATTTTATTTTTCATGCCAGAAAATTACACCTTCAGAGCTCACCAGTAATACAGTAGATATTTTAGACAACTTTATGATTCTAGCACACTTGTAATAAACCTAAAAATAACAAAAGATTATGGGAGAGAATGGAACAAGATTGTTTTTAATATTTTCGCCATTTTTTAATGTTTGTTTTGTTATATTTTGATTTTTATGCTTTTTGCATACATTAAGGTAAAATTTTAGTATACAAAATTTGACCGTAATATTTTAGATTTTCTGTCGTTAGAAAAACTCCTTGAAACTAAATTTCATTTTTCTAACTTTTTCAAACTTTTTTTTTTGGAAATACTTTCAATTTAATAAGCCATTTAAAGTCATTTATGGAATATTTAAGAAAATTGTTAAAATAGCTTAAAAATATTCAAGATAAAGGATGCAGACATTTTCTTTGAATAATAGAAAAGAAAAGAGTTTTCGCAAGCAATCACCACCAAAAACAAATATTAAGCTTTAAGTAGTTTCAAAACTGTTCTTATTTGTAATTATTATTGCACGGAATGCAAATAAATCCAGGCAATGAAACAATGTTACACTCAGTAAGTAATTTTTCTATAATTTAAAGTTTCAAAGTTTCTTCCGCGCGAAATTTATGTGAACTTCAAAAAATCTTAAGAAATTCAATAATATAATCAAACTAATGTAACATCGCTATAAACAAACTCAAATAAATTAATTGTTAAAGAGACTTAAGATAAATCCCAGTATGATTTTTGATGCCTCATTTAATTGTAGTTCCATTAAAATTATGTTCTATGAGAAAGTGTAAACTTAAGACGAATTATTTTGAGGCAATTATTTGGCAGAACTGCTCTATATTCAAGGTTAGGTATATTATTCCACTCTATCATTATATGTAAAAATATAATATATAATTTGGTCTACTTATTCTACACAAAATCTTAACTTTAAAAATAGTAGTAAAATTTTTTCTAAATTTTTTAGATTCTTTTTCAAAAGCAAAAATAAATTCAACCACTTTAAAGGACGAAGCATATAATTGAGTATAAGATGGTAAAATTTAACATTATTTTTTAAAAGCCTATGAATAATTTTTCCTTTATACATTTTTTGTTCTTTTATGAAAATTTCTTATCATTATGTTGATCTGGTGTTTTTATCATTAGAGATTAAGGTTAATGAAGCTAAAATATGATAGATTGTGATTTGAATATTTTTTTTCCTCTGTTTCTTATTCTTTGGACCAATATGAAAGTTAGTCATTAGCGATAATGTTAAATGCTTATGAACGCTTAGAAGATTTTGTTATATAAAAGTAATCATTAATTGGTGTTATTTTCTTTAAAAAGATTATTAAAGTGTTTGAATTGTTTAATGGTTTCATGGCTTTACCAATTTGGTATTTTCTAAAATAATTTCTTTATCATTTATCAATTATGCTTTTGTGTGTATGGAATCAAGTAAAAATTTTGGTTTTCCTTAAATGTTAATTTATTTAAAATTTATGAAATTAAAGATAAGACAATTTCGTGATATTTTATCGTTATTTTCAATATGCCCACTATAAGAATAAAATTTATGCAAAGAAGAAGCAAATTTATAGATGTTATGGAATAATTTTATGGTAGTTGTTGATTAATTGAAAAACACAATTTTGAATTTTTTTTTGAGTGATTTTCGTGAGAAATTTAGGTGTGAAGTGATTATTTAAGTTCATTATCAGTATTCCCACAAATGTTTAGACATTTTTGACTTAATACTTGAGAACAACGCAACTTTTGGAGCATAAAATTTTGTAAAGTCAAATTTTATCAACCGTATTGCTCATATAAAAAAAGAAGATATTGTCTTGATATTGAATGTCACTGGAAATATTAAAGAAGCGCATTTTTGTATTGGTCTAGCAAGATTTCTATTATTCAGCTTTTACTGCTGAGGCAACGGTTCGTCTAATTAATTTCCAAATAGCATATATATTTGAATTAAATTCGGGATTTTTGCAATTTTAATATATTTTGAAGTTCTTCATACCGACAAAATGGCCTTTGTCATATTACTGTTGCCGGTTTTACATATTTGAACATCATGTCAACTAAAGGTTTTACTACTAGTTGTATTTTATTGCTATTTGAAATAAGTAACTGAAATTGTACAACTAGCTTTTAATGTTTTGTTGTTGAATTTCGTTTTGTAGATGATTTTAGTACAAAAAAATTACTGAAAATCATTTACATCACATATTATGAATGCTTTTTCCACAAGAGCAAAAATATATTATATACTCGTAAGAACGATAATTGCTTTGCAAATTGTGATCACAAAACTTGGTATAGCTACCATTAATTTCAAAAATTGTGTATTAATTTCAATTTAAAAATTTAAATTTAAATAGCGACATTGAGAATATTTGCAAAAGGATTTTTTGCTGACAATCTCGAGTATATTTTAAATCTTAACTCCATGATTTTTCCAGTATTTCTCTGAAAAATTATTGTTTAGTGAATGTAATTTTGTTATTAATTTATCTTATCAATAATTTTTAAACAATTATTCATAAAAAATAACAAAAAGCAATAAAAAGAAAATCTTGATAAATCGATTTACTTGACAGTAACATTAAAATATGATTTTCGAGTAAAATATCCTTAATAATTGTAAGAAACAAATCAAAATTTCTCATACTTTTTTATGAAGTAAAACTTGAAAATCCCAATCAACAAAAAATAATATTAAATTTATTGTATTTTATTAATTTTTGTTTTCCATTGCGAATTAGTAGAATAAATCAAATATATTGATAAAAAAAATTGATGTGAACAGCATACAATCGACCGCGTCTTAAATAAATCCAATTCCATTTAAAAATGCTTTAGAAATGTACTAGAAAAGTTTTACGAGGCTACTCTAAAAAGAGTTTGAAATTTTTAATGTCTTTTTCAATAAGTTGGTTTGTGATATAAGGTAAAGTTGTAGGAAAATTTGATATTTTCCTAATCGGTAGATCGATATGGTTCTAAATTTATATTTTTTCTCACTATAACTTTTGTAGAGAATAATTTTAGTTCCTGAAACTCTAATTGTTCCCTATAAATTTTCTTTAGCTGGTCCTTATATATCTGCTGTTCAAGTAAATTTTGGTGTTCAGACTTAAGTTAAAAGCTCTTATAAATAAAATTTTTTTGTAAAATCAAATAATATACGTTGCTGAAGTTAGTTCTTTGGAGTTCACTAACGCAGAGAAGCGCATTTTCATTAAAAACTCGATATGTGTTCGATGACTCTCTTATTATATGCAATGTGCTCGATTAAAAAAAATATTGTTCTTAATTTTCTGATTTATTACATTAAAATAATTTTTTGTGCCAAAACAAAGATGAAATAAGTAGGTATAATAAGTAGGTAGTAGGTTCGAGAAAGTTGGTTTGCTTTCACATTAAAAATGAATTTGTAACTTTTTAAAATCGAATCATTCAAGAGCCTCGTGCTTGTACAATATTAATAAATGGTGACATTTTTTTTCCATATACCATCGGCAATTATAATTTTCTTATGTATCTATATATGTAAGTTACAGACGATTAATAAAAAGTGCCTTCTCTTGAATAGAACTTGGTTGAAATATAAATTAAATTCTTATTTTAATTGAATAAGATAAATTGCGAATCTCAAGCTCTTGATACATAGTATACTCATATTTGCATACTTAAACACACACGTTATGTATGCAAATAAACGAATATGGGTATATTATATGTATATATGTATATACATATATGCAATATGCTAGTATTCACGTTTTAACTAAAACTCAATTGATAAAATTATTTACAATTAATTTTTTATTCAAAGGCAAAAATTTATAGCTATTTCTTACTTAATACAATACACACATGTGCATACATATGTAATAGTATGTCTTAAGTACATGCTACCTATAAAATTCAAAAGTAATTCAATATTACAAATGCATGTTAGAATATTTATTGTTATAACCGATTAAAAGCTATAATAATAACTATATACAAAATAAAAGGTTTCTATTTTTGAGTTCATTCACAAAATAGAACCTTTACTTACAGTTTTTTTTTCTCGACACATCGATGTTATACATTTTTCGCATACAAAACATAAAAATAAACAGTTTTCCTTTCGAAGAACATTTAATCCCCTCCTCCACTTGAATACATTCATATAGATACAACATTTGTTTTATTTCCATTCGCACATTTAGGTACATTATTCCGTAATAGAACACAATCTTAAAAAATAACAATCTTATGAATTTTACAAACAAATTTCCAAATCATATTGTACACGTTTTAACATTCTCATATTCTATACTATATAAAATTATTTATTACTAGAATAATATGATATCAAAGTAGGTTATCCTTATTATAGATAATGACTTTATGATGTAGATTTCTTAGAAACAAAAAAAAAAAGAGAATTATGATTGAGAAGTGCACAACATTTCCTTAATTATGAATAAAATATTTCCCACTTACACTTTGAACACAATTTCTTTTACAGAGCGGTTTAAGAGAAGCAAAACCAAAACCGACTCACTATATACTGAGTACGATATTCTATATAACAAGAACACGTACAAAAATACATAAATTGTCTATCTACGTCAACATTATTATGAAAAAGAATATTTTTATATTCTTTAAGAATAATTTTAAAATTTCGAAAATTTCGAAATTTATTTTTATAGTGAATTTTTCTTCTATTTTTTTTTGTTCGCTCATTTAAAGGAAAATTTTATTTGTTTAGCTTGAATTTTTAAATGTATAGAAAATTTAAAAAGGAAACACACAAAATATTCTTTTAATGAAATTTCGAAAATTCGAAAGAAAGAGAAAGAAAAGAATGAAAAAATGAAATTTTATGTTACATAGAATATTTTATTAAGGATAAAATTTTCATTGAATCCGCTAACTCGCTTTTTTTTTCTTGTTTTGTCTTGTTTTTAAATATCTAAACAATTTGATTATGAACTTAGTTGTATTTTAAATTTTGTTAAAAATAATCAAGCGGACAATGTACAGGAAGTTTTTTTTGTAAATTACAGTTTAAAAGTATCACAAGATGAACTTCTAATAGAGGCACAAAAACTGTGAACGTAGACAGTTGCTTACAAAATATTGAAAAAAAAAATTAAAAATTTAAAAATTTGCCAATATTGTAACTTTGGTTTTTTATTACTTTCGGTAACAAAACATGCCCAAACAGAAAATTAAATTTTTCGTAGAAGTCAAAAATGAAATAGAAAATAAAAAAATTCCTTTATTTTAAAATTTGTGTACTTCTGTTTAAAAATTATTAATTATTTTTCATTTGAGAAAATTCAAAAAAATTTGCTACGAAACCATCTATTGCTATGATCGAACTATGCATTATGCGGATCTTTTTTGCAACACATAAAAATTAAATCAAAATACAAAATGTATTGGATTTTAAAAAGAACAGGTGCAGCGAACTTTTTTAATTCGTTAAATAACAGTAACAATACATCAAAAATCACTGGAAACAATAAGGATTATGGCTACAAAAATAAAGGTAAGGTTTTTTTGTGTTTCTTGCTTTTGGAAACCACAAAAAAGTTGTATTTTTTTTAAAATTCTTGTTTAAGAATAAAATTTACAAAATCTAATAAATTTTTTTTACATGATGAAATTCATTTGAAATTTTTAAAATGTTTTTATGTTTTATTACGAAATAATGTGGGAGAGTATCAAGTTTTGTACTGGAAAAATTTTGTTATAATGATGCTATATTTTTTGTTATAAATGCTAATATACATAAATATGTATATATGTCTATATATATAAATCACATTATTATATTTCGAAATAATTTTTAATATTAAACTTAAATAGTGATGCAAAATTCAAGTTTTCCATTTGTTTTGGCAAAGAAATGAAGAATTACAGAATAAATTTAAAACCGGATGACAACTGCGTGAATGTCATAATTTTGTTAAAAATTCTTAATTAACTAATAATTTAATTATAACAGTTAAATTGTTTTAGTAAATTTAATAATATCATTGAAATTTCAGTTGCCTATAAATTGTGCTAAAATTTTAAAATGTCGGATTTCATAAAATGAGTTTTAGATTAATTTTATACTACAAGCTTTAAGATGTTGAAAATAAAAATTTTTGATTTACATCATTTTATTGATCAAACACAAATAAATTTACTTAATACGGCTCAATTTCAAATTCAGCTCTATAGTTTTTTAAATTTTTTTAAAACAAAATCACCGATAAAATATGAATCCAACTTTCTTTGAGAGGAGGATTTATAAGCAGTTACACAGGTTTACAATTTTTATTCCATCAAACATTTTCTTTGTCGTACTTGGCTTCGAGTGGCTTTTTATTAAAATTTGTTATAACACAAAATAAATTCATACAAAAGATTTCCTAGTCCCTTTCGAAAAATATTACGAATTCATTATGCTAGTGATACCAATTAATCTAAAAGTTTTAGGTCGCATTTTAAATTGTAATGTTACGAGAAAAAAAACAATTCAAATTTCTCTATATTTTTTTAAATTTTCCAAAATTGAAAATAAGAACTGGTCAATTAAGAACAGCTAAAATCATTAAATAATCTTGCGAACACAATTTTTTTTTCATAAAGCAATCATAAACTTATATTACAAGTATAACGCTTAATTTTCAAAATATAAATAATTTGTTATAAAAATTGACGATGAATGGCTATACATTCATATTATATATAAGTACATATGTACATGTTTATTCTCACCATATGTATCTGTTATGTACTCGACCAAATCGGATTAGAACAAATTAGAAATGGCATAATCCTTAGAAGTTTTCAATTTTCTCAATACGGATAAGATAATTTATTTTTGTTATAGATATCATTTAAGATATAAAATTAAAAAAACACAATAATTTATTTTTGGGTAACCACCGCTCGCTCAAACAACACAAAATATTTCATCTCTTTTGAGGAAGCAGGATGTTTTTGGAAATTAAATTTCCTATTTGTTTAATTTGTATGCAAAGTAGTTTTTTGCGAACGTTCTTTTAAATATTCTGTTCTTAACTTGAATTTCGCCTCTCAAGCATCTAGTCTTAATTGATTTTAACAAAAAAAATTTTAATTAAGTGAAACACAAAAAAAAAATTATGACGACGAAGCAAAAAAGTACAAAAAACTTCTGCTTTCATGAAAAGATGCCGAAGATTTAAACTTTTAATTCCATTGAATTTTAAATTCTATACCTTCTTGCAGTTTTTATATTTCAAAAAAAAATTTATATATTTGCCTATATCTATTTTATATTTGTAAGAAAAAAGTTGGACGAGTAGAAAAGCACACGTTGGAAATTTTTTGTTATAGAATTTTTGGATATTTTTTTATTGTATACTAGAGTTTGTTTCTATATTAGCCTCGCACTTGTGAGGTTTTTCTTGGACAAAAAACGCTGAAAAATTTAATTAAATAAAAAAGAAACACAATAATTTTCAAAGAATTTTCACCATTAAAATAAGAAAGTCCTAGTGTTGAAATATTATACTGCTTTAGTTCAATGCCTGTATTAAAAAATTTTGTATAACTTTAAATGGAATAATTCAAATATTTTCCATTTTCTAACAAAATTTAATTTAAAAAGAAGATTTGAAAGCGAAATTGTAGCGTTTTTATAAAATAAAATCAATAGTTCACTTCTAAAGCCAGCCTGTAATCGTTTTTGTAGTGATAGCACAATGTACAAGAAAAACTGAATGAGTGACATTCGAATATATAAATTATTTTTAAGAAACTTTGGGGATGGTCATGGTAATAAAAGCAAAAATTTGCTTTATGATTAATATGAGTACCTCAAGTATGAATGTGAAGTTGTTTATAATTCTGGGAATCGACAATATTCAGTATGCAAATATTGCTAACACATTTTATACTGTACTGTTGAATGTTGATTGAAAAGCTTATATTTTCAATCAAAACTTTATACAAAATTTTCATGGAAGAAAAATGGTTTTCATTTTAATAAGCTGTAATTGGCTTTGCTTTTGCTTTATTATTGTATAGTCATTTTCAATATTCATTATTGACTGTGAGATTCTTAAAATAACTTTGTTTTACTTTTTATGTTTTTTTTAATAATTCTTTTGGAATCCCTCCAAATAGTATACAATAATACAACATTGACATGATGAGAGAATTTATCGCACTCAAAGGATAATGAAATAAAAAGGAAATACCAAATCTTATTTCCTGTTTCTCTATTCCATTGCGTATTCTTTTTAATAGTATTTCTAAGTTTCTTTTGTATTGCCTAAATTTCTTCATATCTTTTCATACACCTTCCTACCACATTGAGTACAACAAAGGTGGTATCGAAATGGAATCAAAATTTCTAATGTCAAGTTTTTCAATGAAAGTGATAGACAAACATAAATAAATAACATTTGTTGGGATTTCATTCTAAAGAAAACGTTTTAAATATTTGGCCATATTAAAAGACACAATCAGCGGATTTCTTTGAAATTCGTAGTTTCAATGCTGGTTCTTCAGTCAATGAAGAAATAAGATGTTAGAAATATTTTGGCTCGGAAACAGGTTTTACGTTCGTGATAGTTTTTAAATCAATTGAAAAGATTTCTAGTTATTTAGCACCTGAGTTCCAAGAAAGAAGTTAGCAAGCTTTTCGGGAAACTTGTATGAATATGAACTCTGTTGGGAGTCAAATTTAATTTTTAAGAGGTATGTACATTAACTAGAAGGCTATTTAGTTTTTTTAAAATTTGAAACTAGCACTTAAATTTTTAAAAAGAAATTCACTTACACAAAAAACAAAACATATTATGGTTGATTGTGCGTGTTGACAATGTAGATTTTTTCCACATTTTTAATTTTTGGTAAAAAAATAAAATAATTTTAATAAAATCGGAATCAAAAAGATTGTCAAAATTTTTTAAAAGTACCTAAACTCCTGTTAACACTCGTATAACTCTCGTTGACCTTGTATAAGACTTAACGTTGTGGCAACTTTTACCCAGAAAGACTTAAGACAGTATGTGAAAAAAAAAATGTTATACTGCCATGGTTATGATAACGAGTGCTTTTTTATTACAACTTCCATTGAAATCAATTTTCTCAAATTTTTTCAGAAGTCGATCAGATGCATATTAATGAATTAAATATGAAAAGAGGAATCATAAACATGTTTTGTATTCAACAATTTCTAGACATTAGGGAGAAAAGCAAAATTGTCTATATTCGCTAAATTTGATATGTAAAATTCCATGAGGTCCCTCTCGTAGTCCGTTGTGAAGTTATTTATACAGATTCTTGATAATAAACAATCGTTTTATCGTAAAAGTAATGATTTTAAAATTTTTGACTGTTCTTAATCTTACATTTATTACCAGTAATCTCAAATGAGTAAGAAATGTTAAATTAGGCCACTGTGTTAACAAATGCTTTGTTGATTTAGCAAGAACTTTAAACTATAGCTAAATAATATTTGTAGTGTAAGTCATAATCTTCAAACGCATTGATTAATATTGTTAAGTTTTAAATATAATGATTATTGTAGTTCTATTTTCTAAAGTGAACTATAGAAAAATCTAATCTCACTATAATTTTTTTTTCAATACGAATATAAAATTTTCGTTTTAAATAAAAACGAAGAACTCATAGCACTCAATAGGAATGTAGTGCACTTTACTTTAGACATTATGTAAATATAAAGCAAAATATTTGCATGCTTAGCATTTTATTGCATAAAAATCTCTGAGGATTTCAAATATCTAGGTATACAGGATTTTGCTTTCAACCATTCCATTTTCAATATATCCTTCAAAGGTATATCTTCATTTTGCTGTCGATTAAATAAATAAATAAATTAAATACCAGCAGAAATCCAGCAAAAGATCTATTAAAAGTAAAAATAGATTCTTACCTCACCAAATACTAAAACTATAGTCGGTATAAATTCAAAGATTCTAGGAATAATACATTTGTTTTATGAACTATAGGTGGATGGAAATTGTATATATATTCATTGTTAGGGAGTAAGAGATTTTAAAAGCTTTTGAATAAATTTATTTTAGATTCTTATCATATTTGAAGCTGTCCTCTTCAACATTTCAAGCAGTCTCATGACATCAAACAATTTAAAAAAAAATTTTATTGATTTTGAATTTGATGAGAACAAAAGAATAGGGACGGTTTCCTATTTTTTTGTAAAATATAGAAATCAAGCAAAAAATATTGTAGATACATAAAAGTTGGCATTAAATTTGCAATTATTCGATTCAAAAATATGTGCGCTATTTTTTAGAACTGACTAGAACACCCTTAAATGGTAAAAAACACAAAATTTTAAAATTTTTATAAACTGTTTAGAGTATCAACTTCATTTATCGATCCGCTGTGTATATAGGTCCAAGGCACTCATTGTAATATCTTAAGACTTCTGTTTATCTTAAACGATAAAAATTTTAATTATGCGCGGTATGTTTTCGGAAATTGTTGCCAATTGAAATTTGGTAATGATGAAAATTTTAA